CCCACCCCCCACGCCATAAACCAGGTTCCCCAGACGCACCCGACAAGAAGAAGGAAATCCAGCGGTCGGAATAATTACGAGGAGTGTTCCCTGATGGTCCCTCTATGATTATGCTATAATCACCCCCAAAACCCTATTCTAATTCTCAAGGCCCCTAACCCGAAACCCAAAACCCGAAACCCTAAACCCCAAGCCCTAAACCCGAAGCCCTAAACTACAAACCCCAAGCCCTACACCCTACACCCTACACCCTAAACCCTAAACCCTAAACCCTAACTCTCGGAACTCGACGCGCAGAGAGGCCGTGAGTGACATCGCTGCCGGGCTGGCCGAGCTATGCCCCGATGGTGCCAGCCGCAGGGGCTTTCCTGGGTTTTGCGCAGTAGGGTGAGGGAGGGTTTAGGGTTTAGGGTTTAGGGTTTAGGGTTTAGGGTTTAGGAGTCTGGTAGTGTAGGGATTAGCTTCCTCTCTCCTTAGGAATTAGTGCTTTGTTGCAAAGGACCCTCGGGAAGATTGGAAATGTGTTTTTGTCGTGGTTTAGAGGGGTGTGTAATGTAGTTCCTAGGTCTAGAGGGGCTTCTAAAGGTTTTCGTGGGTTTAGGGTTTAGGGTTTAGGGTTTAGGGTTTAGGGGGCTTCGGATGCTTTCTGTTTGTACGCTCAGCCATCCTCGCGCGCACGAGTCGCCCTACCCGCTTAAGCAGAGTTTAATTTGGGGTTTTAATTTTAGGGTTTTGTTTAGGGTTTGGGGCTTGCCCTGGAGGGTCTGCTTAATTCTCTTTCATTCTCTCTACTAGCCCCACGAGTCCTGGCTTGCTCCTCTTTGCCAGAAGCCTTTGGGGATTCTATCTTCGCGAAGTCCCATATGGAGGTTTACGATAGTAAGGGACCCCTCATATAGACCACCAAATAGTAGAATCCCCGGATCCCTAGAATGACCCCAATAAGGCACCCGTAATATGATAAACCCCCTGTCGCCGAATATCTAAGGGAATGTTGCAGACATTTCGGGTTTAGGGTGCAGGGTTTAGGATCCTCAAAGGCCTGAGTGACAAGAACCTACAACCAAAATACCAGGCTGGCATTCTTGAGGTGGGGCTTCATTTCAAGGAGCTGGACCTTAAGCCCTCTCTAAAATTGCTATGAAGCTCTCGGGCCTATTTTAAACCGGAAGCCCTCCAAAACCCCAAAACCCCAAAACCCCAAAACCCCAAACCCTAAACCCGAAAACCCCCCGAACCCTAAACCCCGAACACAAAAAACAACCTGCCAGTACTGTGCTGCCAGGCACCGTCCGCAAGCTGCGCATTGAGGAGTATGGGGAGGCTGGGATGCTAAGGGCAGGTTTAGGGTTTAGGGTTTAGGGTTTAGAGTTTAGGGTTTAGGGCTTAGGGTTTAAGGTTTACGGATGCTAAGGGCCCCTAAACATTAAACCCTGAAAGGTAAATGCTTTAGGGACTCGGAAAAGTGCCTCAAGGGTTCAGGGTTGTTAAGGGTTTAGGGTTTAGGGTTAGGGCTTAGGGTCTATAGCACGTAAGCCTGAACCGGCAAAGCCTTCCGAGGGTGACCCGGATGAGCCTCCGACGTGGCTGCAGCCGCGCTGGCTGGAGAAGGGCTCGGAGAAGGCGCCGCGGGCGCGTGCGCAGTCGGCTTCAGTCATGCCCGGACCTTTAGGGTTTAGGGTTTAGGGTTTAGGGTTTGGGGTTTAGGGTGTAGGGTTAAGCCTAAACCAGCCTCAGGCGCATATTTTTCGCGCATGTTGTGCAAGGTCGTGGTGACCTGCCAGATGGTCATCACCTCCTTCGGAGGCGCCTTCCAGCCTGGCTTTTACTTAGGGCTAACTAGGCCTACTAGCCCGGTTCCCTCATAAAGTAACCAACCCCAAAAAGGGTGCCCTTATTATAATGTTGTTGCTGGGCTACCAAGTAGGTGGGACCCCATACTTACCCGAAAGTTCCTCACGCAAGTCGAGCTTAGGGTTCAGGGACCCTAAGCCCTAAGCCCTAAACCCTAAACCCTAAACCCCCCATGGCACTCCTGTGCGCCCTTCAGCACCTCGAAACCTTTCGGGGCTCCGGTGAGGCGAGGAGCTCTACAACAGCAAGGAGTACCGGCCGCGCCCTCACAAGGAGGGTCGGGTTTGGGGAGTTTGGGGGTTTGGGGGTTTGGGGGTTTAGGGTTTAGGGTTTAGGGTTTAGGGTTTGGGGCTTAGGGTTTAGGGTTTAAGGTTTGGGGCTTAGGGTTGAGGGTTTTGGGGCTTAGGGTTTGGGGTTTGGGGGTAGGGTTTTCGAGATTAGCTCCCTTCTTGGGCCTATAAAGTACAGCACACTTAGAACCAGGACCCCCCAAAAAGAGGCCCCTGATTTAAAGAACTACCCTTTTTCGCATGTGCAGCCCCCAAACCCGAAAAGTCGTCTAAGGCTACGGATCTGTAAGTTTCACCCTACACATTTCCTTTTAAGGCCTCATGAAGCCCCTATTATCATGGCCCGTTGAGCCCTCCGAACCACTGAAAAAGGCAACTGAGTCCCTTTACTTGAACCCTGACCCATCCCCGACCATCATACACCCGAAGCCCGCCAACGCTAAAAGCATGAGCCCTGA